TTTAGACACTGGCTTTCAGACCTCAAATACTCCAAGCATTCAACCTTTGCAAATGCAGTAATAACCTCTGCCTAAAATGATCCTCCCTTACTCTTCGCTTGACCTACTTCTTCTCATCATTCTCTCATCTCACAAAGTCTGAGATGTGGTTTTGAGCAACTTATTCAAAATAGCATTTCTATTACTCAACTTTGTTTCACAGCACTTACTACCTAGCTCAAATGCTTATTTATTTTGTCTTCCTCGTAAGTGCTTAAGACCAAAGGGGAAGGACATTTGTGTAACTACTACACAACTTGGTATTCTGGCTAACACACTGCTATACTTGTCCATTTAAGGTTCCAGTAAATGTTGAATCAATGAATGTTATTCCTGAATAACAGAGACAGAGACTCACTGAAATTTTTCAAGGAATGAATTTATGAACTAGATACCATCTGCTAATCAAATATATATTGGGAACCAAAAATTATATTGAGAAGAAGTAAAACTATTTAGTAGTAAAAGAACAATGGTTAGTAAAATAATAGTAGATAGACCCAGCCAAACAACAAATTAGCAACATAAAATACATGGAAGAACTCTAGTAGAAAGTAAAAAATAGAAGAATATTTAAGAGAAAAGCTAAAAAAAAAAAAAAAAAAAGAAAAGCTAAGAAGTATAGAGGATAGAAAATGAATGACCAAGTCCAATTAATAGAAATCTCAGAAAGAAGAAAAGGAAATACATGATAAAATAGTAAAGATTAATTTCCCTGAATTAAAGAAAGATAAAGGAACTCAGATTGAAAAGGTCCACAGAAGGGCAAACAAAAGAAAACAAAAAATGATCCAATCTTAGTTCTAAATTCTAAAAGAGAGTAGGGAATGGTGTTGATACAGGCAATCCTACTCCTACAACAAAGTCTGCAGTCCTGGCCGGCGCCGCGGCTCACTAGGCTAATCCTCCACCTTGCAGCGCCAGCATACTGGGTTCTAGTCCTGGTCAGGGCGCCTGATTTTTTCCCGGTTGCCCCTCTTCCAGGCCAGCTCTCTGCTGTGGCCAGGGAGTGTAGTGGAGGATGGCCCAAGTACTTGGGCCCCGCACCCCATGGGAGACCAGGATAAGTACCTGGCTCCTGCCATCGGATCAGCGCTGTGCGCCGGCCGCAGCGCGCTGGCCGCGGCGGCCATTGGAGGGTGAACCAACGGCAAAAGGAAGACCTTTATCTCTGTCTCTCGCTCTCACTGTCCACTCTGCCTGTCAAAAAAAAAAAAAAAAAAAGTCTGCAGTCAGTCCTACCTACTGTGACATAAATATGATAGTATACCCATTTCCTAGGTTTGCAAAAACAATTTAACAAAGCTCAACATAAAAACTCAGAAATGTTCGCTATTATTCAATAATTTTTTTTAAATTTTTTAATAGGTAGAGTTAAAACAGTGAGAGAGACAGAGAGAAAGGTCTTCCTTCCGTTGGTTCACCCCCCAAATGGCTTCCATGGCTGGTGCTGCGCCGATCCGAAGCCAGGAGCCAGGTGCTTCTTCCTGGTCTCCCATGTGGGTGCAGGGACCTAAGCACTGGGGCCATCCTCCAGTGCCCTCCTTGGCTACAGCAGAGATCTTGACTGGAAGAGGAGCAACCAGGACTAGAACCCGGTGCCCATATGGGATGCTGGCACTGCAGGAGGAGGATTAACCAACTGAGCCACGGCACCGGCCCCAATAATTATTATTTTATACATAAAATTTTATCTGGATTATATTTCTGCATTGTGTGAAGTAAAGATTAACTGATAACATTTTTTTAAAGATTTATTTTATTTATTTGAAAGACAGAGTTACAAAGAGAGAGGTAGAGACAGAGAGAGAGGTCTTTCATCTGCTGGTTCATTCCCCAGATGGTCACAATGGCCGGAGCTGCACTGATCCGAAACCAAAAGCCAGGAGCTTCTTCTGTGTCTCCCATGTGGTTGCAGGTGCCCAAGGACTTGGGCCATCTTCTACTGATATCCCAGGCCATAGCAGAGAGCTAGATAGGAAGTGGAGCAGCCGGGACTAGAACTGGCACCCATATGTGATGCCGGCGCTTCAGGCCAGGGCTTTAACCTACTGCACCACAGCGCTGGCCCAGCTGATAACATTTTAAAGTGGATAGTCCAGTTTTCTATCACAATTTATAGAGAAATAACAGTACTATTGCTTTATGTTCAAAATTAATACTTCATGTTACTTTTACTTCCTCTGTGCTTGTTAGGAATTTAAAGTTTGTTTAAATTTGTGTGAATTAGAGTAATTTGCCCTAGTTACAACAAACCCTCAAACTTGCTTCCATTTTTCGTATGAAAGGCAGTGAAAGAGACGGAGATCCTGTCTACTATTTTACTCGCCAAACACCCACAACAGCTGAGGAGGACGAGAGCTGAAGCCAGGAGCCATGACCACAATCTAGATCTCACACATTGGTGGCAAGAACCCAAATGCTGGAGCCATCTTTCCTGTTTCCCGTTGTACTGGCAGGAAGCTAAGGTCAGGAGCCAGAGCCAGGAATTATACCCAAAAACTCTGGGGTGGGACATGGGCATCTACCGACTAATATGCCTGTCCCAACCCCTCAAATTTTAGACTACTCCCACCTCTTAAAAATTTATTTATTTATTTGAAAGACAGAATTACAGGGAGAGTAAGAAATACAGAGAAAGATCTTCCATCCTCCAGTCTGCTCCCTGAATGGTGGCAACAGCCAGGGTTGGGCCAGGCTGAAGCCAAAAGCCAGAAACTCCATCTGGGTCTTCTACACGTGTGACAGGAACTCATGTACCACAGCCATTACTTCCTGCCTCCCCAGGCACATTGACAGGGAGCTAGACGGAAAGTGATGGGATGACAGCACCACAGGCTTACTTAGCTATGACACAATGCCACCCCACCCTGCTCCAATGCCTTGCCCTTAAATCAAACGTGTACACACCATCTCTCTCTGTCAGACTTATCACCACAAAGCCTCAAGTTTCTCATGTAAAGAAACACTCAACCCTGTTGGCATGATTAGGCATGACCACATGCATAAAATACAAGTAGCATAGGATTCATTCTGGGGACTAATGTCAGTTTATAACCTCACTGTCCCTCAGGAAAACTGGCCCCTTTCTTCCTTTTCCATATAGTGCTAAGACTGAATTTCATAATTTCCTGTTTTTGTTGTCTCTTCTTGACACATGTGTAATATTAATAACATATTATATAACACAAAAGCCATCATCAGGAGTGGTATGAGCAGATATTGGAGGAGTTATTATAGTATCAATTGCCAGTAATTATACCTGAATTCTTCAGAGTCTAGGCAGAAAAGTATCACTGACAATCTAGGAAGGGGACTTGCTGCAAATTTAAGGTGACAGTGTACAATTATAAATATTCCTGATTCTAGCCATACACACTTTCCCAGATCACTTCATTGTGCCGCATTCCAGGTATCGTGATCAAATATATGGAGTGAGACTTGTAATGCGATCTGCTTTAGTTACAGTGTGAATTGATTATTTTCTTCTTCTTCCCTTTAATACCACTTCATATGGACTATTGCTCTGTCCTCACAGAATTCCCTAGATCACACTATGGTTTATGATCTTCAAGTAGATCTAAACATTTCCATATCTTCACAAAGTATATACACATTCACTGTATTAAAACAAGTAAATTTTTTGTTAATGTTGCTATTTTCCTAATCTTAGGCTTTTAAAAAGCTGACTAGTCCTATTTAATAATTTGTATTCATATTTATTCAGCCCCATCTATAATGCTTCTGTGTTCCAACACTTTTGATTGTTCCAGACCATATTATATAACTTCTTTAATTAAAATTGCTAGCTGTAACCCGCAAAGAATTGCTTCAACACAAATATGATAACAAGGTATTAGTGCTATTAGCTTACCTTCCCTAAAAGTAAAAAGACTTGGAAGTTTATAAAAGAAGAATGTTAAAGGAGGAATAAAAGCTAATGGTGAAATCACATGCAATGGAAACAGTGGGATAGACATTTATATAAAAGGGATCACCCTCCAATAACTCTAAGAAATTCTAGTTCTCCATAGATACTAGTATATTCTGGGTCTTAATGGATAAAATGGAACTTTTCATTTTATCAACTGAACGTATATTATTTTTGTAGATGCATTATTATAGTACGGGGTTCATAAAAATCGCTATTTTTCTGTCCATTCACAGACAGAAAAAACTTTTTTGTTTTTAATTTAGCTTTCAAATACCTTATTTAGGGGCTGGTGCTGTGGTATAGCAGGTAAAGCCACCACATGCAGTGCCAGCATCCCATTTGGGTGCTGGCTCAAGTCCCTGCTGCTCCTCTTCTGATCCAGCTCTCTGCTATGGCCTAGGAAAGCAGGGGAAGATGGCCCAAGTCCTTGGGTCCCTATACCCACATGGGAGACCCAGAGGAAGCTCCTGGCTCCTGGCTCCTGGCTTCAGATCAGCTCAGCTCCATCTGTTGTGGCCCTCTGGGAATTGAACCAGCGGATGGAAGACCTCCCTCCCTCCCTTTCGCCCTCCCTCCCTCCCCCCCCTCTGTAATTCTGCCTTTCAAATAAATAAATGTTAAAAAGAAAAAAATACCATATTTGTTATTTCACATTACTAAATTTTAAAAAAGAATTATTTACTTATTCATGTGAAAGGCACAGCAACAGCAGTTGATCTTCCATCTGCTAATTCATTCCCCAAACAGCCATAACAGCTAGGTTCTGGGCAAAGCTAAAGCCATGAGCCAAGAATTCCCTCCTGTCTCTCTTGTGGGTGGCAGTGGACCTAGCACTGAGGCCATTATCTACTGCCTACCAAGGAGCATTAGCAGACAGCTACATGACAAGCTGAGCAGCCAGGACTCAACTGGCATTCTGATATGGGTTGTAAGTGGTGTCCTACAACCTGTTGTGCCACAGTGCCATCCCCAGTAACTTGTTTTAACAGAGCAACCATATTAACATTTGAAAAAAAAAAAAACTCACCAAGAAGCTACTGGTAAGACAGTAAGCAGGGCAAATAGGCAGCAAATCCTGTAGATCAATCAGGCAGATAAAGCTCTTCAGGGAAGATCTTTTGGAGGACTAGTTACCAAAGGCAGGGTTAGCTGTAGATGGAAACCAGCAGTCTTAAGTATGATATTTGAATAGGACACCTCAGAAATATGATGATACTTCAGGAGTGAGAATTTAACTTAGCAGTTAAAATGCCTACATCTCATTTTGGAGTATCTGGTTTTGATTCCTGGCTCCAGCTTATGATTCCAGTTTTCTGCTAATGTAGATTATGGGAGGGAGTGATGATGGTACAAGTAGTTGAGTTCTTGCCATCCATGTAGGAATCGCATTCCAGGATTCTGGCTTCAGTTTCAGGCATTATAGGCATCTGGGGAGTGAGCAAACAGATGGGAACTCTCTAAATGTCTCTCTAAAAAATAAAGAAAAGAGCTAATAATTCAAAATATTCATGGAAGGGGCCAGCATAGTGGTCTGGCAGGTTAAGTTGCCCTCTGCAATGCCAGCATCCAATATGAGCCCTGGTTTGAGTCTCTGCTTCTCCACTTTCAATCCAGCTCCTGTTAATGTACTTGGGAAGGCAGCAGAAGATGGCCCAAGTGCTTGGATCTCTGCCACTCATACACGTGAGAGATCCCAATGGAATTCCAGCCTCCTGGCTTTGGCCTGGTCAAGAACCAGCCATTGCTGGCACTGGAGGGTGAACCACTGGATGGAAGCTCTCTTTTCTCTTCCTCTCTCTGTAACTCAAAATTTTTTTTTAAATTCATGCACAGAAGGGGCTCTTCAAAACATTCATGGAGGCCAGCTCCGCGGCTCAATAGGCTAATCCTCCACCTTGCAGCGCCGGCACACCGGATTCTGTCCCGGTTGCCCCTCTTCCAGGCCAGCTCTCTGCTGTGGTCGGGAGTGCAGTGGAGGATGGCCCAAATGCTTGGGCCCTGCATCCCATGGGAGACCAGGAGAAGCACCTGGCTCCTGCCTTCGGATCAGCGTGGTACGCCGGCCGCAGCGTGTCAGCCGTGGCGGCCATTGGAGGGTGAACCAATGGCAAAGGAAGACCTTTCTTTCTGTCTCTCTCTCACTGTCCACTCTGCCTGTAAAAAAAAAAAAAAAAAAAAAAAAAAAAAAATTCATGGAAATTCCATTGTGAAAAAATTATGTATGAATCATTTTTGCACCAAAAAAAAAAAAAAAACTCTTTTAATTACATTTTCCCACACACTTTCCATGTCTTGGAAATCCTCTTGCTAGTTACATTCCATCACAATTCCTTTGCTACAAGACTTTGGATTTTGTCTGGACATTTTTGTGGTTCACAGGATTAATACACTTACATGATTAACTATTTGGACTTAGTTTTGATTTCACATTTACTTTATTTCTTCATGTTTGCTTATTTTCTCCTGTTATTTCTCTGGAGTTGCTTGATGTTCTTCTGTGTGTGTTTTACTGTTTCCTCTTTTTGCTTCTGCTTTCCCAGAATATCTTGCTTGTAGAAACTAATAAGAGCTGTGTATTTCCAAACAGTCTTCACATATCATTATGGTATGAAAGGGAAATTCTATTACATCACATTCCTTCAACTTCCTTTTCTGAATTTTGATTTTACTGAAGCTGGTTCCAAGCATTGACAACTTCTTTTCCTAGGAGACCTATTACTATCTGCCTTTTGAATAACCTGCCTGGAAGGAAGAGACTATTTCACATATTTCATTTATATCCTGCACATTATCAATCAGTGTTTTCAAAGTGTTAATGACCAGCTCCAGATTCACGTGGGTGCTAGTATACACACATCTGCATAGGCTCTATCCCATGTTTAGTCAGAGTATCTGAAGGTGGAGCTCAGGAACCTGCAGGTTTTCTTTCTTTTGTTTTAGATTTATTTATTTGAGAGGCAGAGTTACAGAGAGAAAGAGAGGTCTTTCATGCACTGTTTCACTCCCCAATTGGCTGCAACAGCAGGAGCTTCTCCCAGGCCTCCCATTTGGGTGTTGAGCCTAAAGCACTTCAGCCAACTTCCACAGCTTTCCCAGCCCATTAGCAGGGTGCTGGACCAGAAATAGAGAAGCTGGGACTTGAACTGGCACTCACAGGAGATGCCAACATCGCAGGCACAAACTTAACCTACTACACCACAGCACTGGCCCCAGGAATCAGCAGTTTTTAACAAACTTCCTAGATGAATTTTCTCCAGACTAAGATTTCATAATCATGGCATAATAATAGTTTCGTAAAATCATCTTAATCAGTGATACACTTTACCAACCTCCAAGTATTTCTCTCATGTACTCAACTTTCTTTTGAGCCTCAGCCTTGAATTTTCAACCACTTCCTGTATATACTTACCAGAATATTTTCTCATCCAATAGTGAACACATTCAAAACTAAATCACCACTGGGTGTCTCCAACTCTAGCATCACATTAGCAAGAGTTATCTTTGGAGTCATTCTTTACTCTTGGTCACCATAGTGGCCACGGTGCCATGCACTGAGAAAGACAGTGAAGACATGACCAGACTTGGGTCATGCCTTCAAATTTCTTAGATTCTTTTACAGAGTTAACGTAACACTATGGCAACTTTAGCTTTTTTCTCAGAATATTTTACTTTCCTCATCAGTGACCTAATCTAGAATCTTATCATTTATTATTGATTGCTGTAATTTTTTGAGTCTTTTTGCTCCTAAACTGCCACCTCATTTAAAATTAATCCACCAAAAATTTAAGCCTTCAAAACAACCATTTTAAAAACTTTTTATTTCAAAATAGTTCTAAATTTACAAAACAGAAATTGTGGAGGTGTACAGAGTTCCCATATACCTCAAATTCAGGTTCCCCATTACATTTTTTTAAAATATATTTATTTATTTATTTGAAAGTCACAGTTACACAGAGAAGGAGAGGCAGAAGGGGAGAGAGAGAGAGGAGAGAGGAGAGAGAGGTCTTCAACTCGCTGGTTCACTTCCTAGTTGGCTGTGACAGCCGGAGTGGTGCTGATCTGAAGCCATGAGCCAGGAGCTTCTTCTGGGTTTCCCATGTGGGTGCAGGGGCCCAAGGACTTGGGCCATCTTCTACTGCTTTCCCAGGCCATAGCAGAAAGCCGGATCAGACGTGGAGCAGCGGGGACTCGAACCAGTGCCCATATGGAATGCTGGCACAACAGGCCCCAGCTTCCCCTATCATTAACATCTTACATACTTGTCACATTTTTTAAAAATTCTGGTTAATGCTTTCTTGTTCTCAATTGTTTATTGGCTATTTTTCAGACTAAATTTGAGGTCTTGATGATATAGTCTCCAGAGAAATTTCTCCTAGAGAATTGTTCTTTCTCTATCAGAAATCTGAATTTGCTGAAAGCTTGTCTCTAGAATGATAACTTTATACTTTTTGATTAACCAAGCCATATTTTTCTCTTAAGGCCTCCAGCAAAAGGGCTGGCCCTTTATATATGCTCTTGCTCCAAACTCCTATGGTGACTCTCTACTTCACCTGCTAAGCATTTAGCATGTGCTCCTTGATATTATTACCTTTATTCCTAATTCTTCAATTATTCCATTGGTTTCTTAAATGCAGAAACAATGTTTTTATAAACTTTTTCTTTCTAGCAATCCAGGCTTAACGCATAGTGAGCATTTAATAAATCTTCACCATCAATTTACTTATGCATTCCCTCATCAAATAATTACTGAATGCCCCATATGGTACTTGCTTTCATAGGCTAATAATTTAGCTGGAAATACAGATGTTAAATAAAAATGAGATGATCAATAGGGTTATTCATGGTAACACAGAAATGTTTAATGCAGACCTATCACAGGTCAGGCACGAGCACAATATAAGCTGAAAGCTGACACGGCTGATGGAGGTCGCATGTAAAGCACTAAAATGCAACGTTACAAGGGCAAACGGAATATCCTGGTTGCACAAAGGAGGGTGCAAAGATCTCTGCCACTTCACGCTTCCACTGGGTCTTGAAGGAGAACTTTAAACAACAATTCGGATGATGCAAGACTTTCTTGCAAGAGCTGTTTTCAGAAACCTGGAAAGCTCGTTCCTACATCATCTGAGCAAAACCCTGAGCTCAGCCCACGAAGCTGGGACTAGGATGGCAGGTGCCTGGCGATGGCTACTGCCCAGGGCAAAGTCCCGGTCGGCGCTGCTGGGGCTCTCTAAGCCTTTCCTCGGCCCTGCCCGCCAGCATGGCCAGTTATTCCCAGAGAAAGCCCCTCGGTGCCAACAGACTTTGTCAGCACCAGGACAGAGCAAATCTGGCATCTTCCAGAATGTTAGGGATTCTCAAGGGCGGCAAGTAAGAGAGTCCGCCGTTTCCAATACTCAAAAAAAAAAAAAAAAAAAAAAAAGCCTACTCCAAAGTGCACATTTCTAACGGGGCCACGGGCCAGGTTTCCTCGTTTCGTGCTACAACTGCAACAGGCCAATGTTAAGCCGGGATTCTGACACAGCTGTCTTCTGGTTAAGCACCACGCGGTTTCCCATTGTTGCCGTGTTAAATTTAGTAAACTCTTCAAAATACGGGAGCGAAACCGGGAACGCCTGCCATGACGTTTGCCATTCACCAGCTGTCACCGGCGACGCTGGGGAAAAGCGATTCACCTCAGCAGAGCCAGCCCGGCGACCTCTACAGCTGCTCCACGCTTCTCGGCTCCTTCCGTGCGCCCCCAGACACCTGCGCCCTCGCCACCGAGCCACACCGCCCGCCTCTGAGGAGACAGCCACCACTCCCACCGCGCCTTCCGGAAGGCGGTGCGCCCGCCCGCACGCACGCACGCATGCGCGATGCGGCCTCCGCGCGGCCGCGCCGGGGTCGGGCACCCGGGGTGCCCCGCGAGCGTCGGCGCCTCCGGCGGGCGCGCGTGCGCAGTCGCTTTCCCGAGCGCTTCTCCCCGCCCCTCCGGCCGTCCGTCAAGCCGCCGCGCCACCCCTCACCATTCATCCCACTCCTCTCCATCCCACCAATCCAAGAAGGCCCTCGCCTACGTCAAGAACGAACGCCGCTTTCGACCGGGGAGTCTCCGGCCGAGGACGCTCCCGGAGTTGTAGCGCGCGCCGCGCCCGCCCCTTCCGCCGCGCACGCGCACGCGCACGCGCACGGCCGGCCACGACGCGCCGGGGTTGGCGGCGGCCGCGAGGGCGGCAGTGGCTTCGACGCCGCTCGACGAGTTTCCTCCGCCCCCTCCCGTCGCGCGCTGGTGTGTGGTTGCCTTTAAAAAAAAAAAAAAAGAAAAGAAAAAGCCAACTTTATTGTTCCTCGCCCCACCTCCCGGCGCGGCGCGCGCCCTCAGGATGCACTGAGGCGGGGCGGGGAGGCGGCGGAGGGTCGCGCTCCCTCGGCCCCCAGCGCCGGCCGCAGGGGCGGCAGTCAGGATGTCCAGCAGCCGCCAGGCCGGCTCCGGCTCCGCGGGGACGAGCCCCGGCTCCTCGGCGGCCTCCTCGGTGACTTCCGCCTCCTCGTCCTTAGCCTCTTCCCCGTCGCCCCCTGCCGCGGCGGCGGCGGCGGCGGCGGCGCTGGGGTCCGGCGGGGCCGCGCAGGCCGCGGGCTCGGGCGGCCTCGGGGGTCCGGCGCGGCCTGTGCTGGTGGCGGCCGCCGTGTCGGGCGGCGGCGGCGGCGGCGGGGCGGTGTCGGCGGGCCTGTCCCGGCTCAGCTGCGCGGCCAGGCCCAGCGCCGGCGTAGGAGGCAGCAGCTCCAGCCTCGGCAGCGGCAGCAGGAAGCGACCCCTGCTCGCCCCTCTCTGCAACGGGCTCCTCAACTCCTACGAGGACAAAAGCAACGACTTCGTCTGGTGGGTTTGAAGAGCACCCCGCTTCCCGCTGGCGAATTCGGGAGTTCTGTGCCTGGGGCCGGCGGGCTGCAGTGCGGGAGAGCGCGGGATGCTGGTGCAGAAGTGGCGCCTGCAGCGGGATCCGATGCTTTGCAGACACGTTCCGGCTCCGGGTGCTGGGGTGGGCAGTGCGGGCGTCCCGAGGCAGGGTCGGCCGCAGCAAGAGAAAGAGGCGCTGGGGAGTAGTGCACGGGGGCGCCGGGAGGCGTGCAAGGTCAGCTCAGTGGTCGTTGCTACCAGGAGAAATTTGGGCGAGGAGGTGGGGTCTGGAACGTTTTGGCTGTTTGGTGACCCGACAGTACCCGTGGTGGTGAATTCAATTTGCCAAGGGAGAGGATCTTTCCTGCTGGGATGCTGAGGGATGGAGTTGGTCAGAATGTCCTCAGAGGAAGTGTGCTGGATGATGCCCTGAACATGGGTGTGGGTGTTTTAGGAAGAGGGGTTTAGTGCAAGCACCCATCGTGTGTGAATATAGATATCTCTCCTTTTCCATCTCAATGGTTAAGGCGATTATTTTTAAATCTGCTCTTGAGGCTACAGCAGCCAGTCTGTGCACAAAAAAATTCCACTTGTCAGGTGGGTTTCTTGAAAGAACGAAGCACGTTGATGAAATATTATCCGTGGGTCAGGTGTAATTGTTTTACACTGTATAACTGAGTACACGGAAACTTGAGTGATTTGAAATGCTCCGTGTAGACATTTTGTCATCATAGTTGCATCTTGAATGATACACAGTAACATGTGGTGGTATTTGACTCAAAGGCGATTTGGTTACTTTCAGTGAAGGGTGAAGTTCATTGTCTTGCTGAGTCCGTTTTGGGGTTTTCATTAGGCTGTGCTTACTGTTGGTAGGATTATGAGACAGCAGCAGTTTTTAGCTGATTAAGAACCGACAGGGATTTGTGCCCTTCCTGCAGGAAGGCTCGTTGATAGAACTTTCAGTGAGTGTAGGAAGTTGGCTTGCACATTCATGGGGGAAGTTGAAGATAATCGGAATTGTCAGTAAGCATGATAGGGCTAGAAATGGAAATGATCGGGAACATTCATTGATTAGATGTGCAGACAGATTCTTGTTCCTGCAGAAGGATTACATCCTTATTCATAATTCTGCTTTTATTCTGGATTCAAAGTTAGTTCATTTTTAAATTGACACTGGGCTATACTTGGGATTGTTGTTCATAAATAAGTTGAACAGTCTGTGGCTGGGTCTAAGAGTTGCTTGCCTTCCCTCCCAGTCCCAATAGAGCCACACCATGAGGTAAAAGATAATAAAATAGTGGGAGTCTGCAGAATTTAGTTGTCTTTGTAAACACTATTTGCCTTTCAGTTTTCAATAGACTAAAAGAAAACAAACATGTCAGCATCTGTGTAGATCACTGAAATAGTATGGAAGAGGTGAGAAATAAGGGAAGCAATCATTCAGTCACTCAACAGATAGTTGTTTTTTAACTTTTATTTAGCAAATATAAATTTCCAAAGTACAGCTTATGGATTACAATGGCTTCCCCCCACCCCCCATAATTTCCCTCCCACCCGCAACCCTCCCATCTCCCACTCCCTCTCCCATTCCATTCACATCAAGATTCATTTTCAATTAACAGATAGTTATTTGACATTTGCTTTTTGCCAAACACCCTATGAGTTTCTGTGTACTGTAAAATACGTTGTAGGAGTAGATGGCACTGATATTTAATTAGTTTAAAATTTTATTAAAATTTTTATTTATCACTTAAATTTTTTTAAAGATTTATTTATTTGAAGGTCAGAGTTACACAGAGAAGAGAGGAGAGGCAGAGAGAGAGAGAAGAGAGAGGTCTTCCATCTAATGATTCACTCCCCAGTTGGCCACAACGGCCGGAGCTGCGCTGATCCGAAGCCAGGAGCTTCTTCCAGATCTCCCACACAGGTGCAGGGGCCCAAGGACTTGGGCCATATTCTACTGCCTTCCCAGGCCACAGCAGAGAACTGGATCAGAAGTGGAGCTGCCAGGTCTCAAACCGGCACCCATATGGGATGCCAGCGGCGCTTCAGGCCAGGGCATTATCCTGCTGTGCCACAGCGCCAACCCCAACTTTTAAAAATTTCAAACTAGTTTTGAGTCCTAACCATGTTGCCTAGACTATTGATTTCTAGTGTGGAAACATCCAATGAAAATATTTAGGTAAAAACTCTGAATATTTCACTTTCTGTCTAGGAATCTCTTTTGTCTGTTGCTTCTTTATCTGGAAAATTTGAATATTCAGTGGAATTAACTAATGAGAGACCATTTTCTGTTTCTTAAGCCAGATTTGCTCTTGGCCAAACTCTTGGGATAAGAGGATATGAATTAGGCAAGGCCCAAGGAATCCTTTTCATTTCTGATTGGCTCTGGTGGTTGGTTGGTCTGGTCTTTTGTATGCCTCAAGGTCAAACTGTTGACCAATTCAAATTACTCTGCACCTTTATATCCAAGTGAGGTCAAGTTCAAATAATAATGATGATTGCTTATTCGTCTATAGCACATTTTAAGCATAGGCTTATACTTAACATTTCATTTTATTCTTACAGCAGTTCTGTGAGCTTACAGAGAACTTGTCTTTTAAAAATAAAATTGCTGGCCGGTGCCGCGGCTCACTAGGCTAATCCTCCGCCTTGTGGTGCCGGCACACCGGGTTCTAGTCCCGGTTGGGGCACCGGATTCTGTCCCGGTTGCCCCTCTTCCAGGCCAGCTCTCTGCTGTGGCCAGGGAGTGCAGTGGAGGATGGCCCAGGTGCTTGGGCCCTGCACCCCATGGGAGACCAGGAAAAAGCACCTGGCTCCTGGCTCCTGCCATCGGATCAGCGCGGTGCGCCGGCCGCAGCGCACTGGCCGCGGCATCCATTGGAGGGTGAACCAACGGCAAAGGAAGACCTTTCTCTCTGTCTCTCTCTCTCACTGTCCACTCTGCCTGTCCAAAAAAAAAAAAAAAAAAAAAAAAAATACAATTGCTTTTGAAGCACAGAGAAGATAAGTAGCTTTCTTTTAGATTGGGCAGCTCAGGAACAAAATGAAAACTTGCATCTCAACATTGTTAATTTAGAACTTTCTTTGAATGTAGTTAGAGAATTTTAGATCTGTAAGTTAAGGTACTTGTATCTAGCCATCTAGCCCAGTGATTTTTTTTTTTAAGATTTATTTATTTATTTGAAAGAGTTACACAGGGAGAGAAGGAGAGGCAGAGAGAGAGAGAGAGAGAGAGAGAGGGAGGGAGGGAGGGAGGTCTTCCATCTGCTGGCTCACCCCCCAACTGGTGGCAAAGGCCAGAGCTGCACCGATCCGAAGCCAGTAGTCAGGAATCAGGAGCTTCTTCAGGGTCTCCCACGTGGGTGCAGGGACCCAAGGACAGGGGCCATCCTCTGCTGCTTTCCCAGGTCACAGCAGATAGCTGGTTCGGAAGTGGAGCAGCCAGGACTCGAACCAGCGTCCACATGGGATGCTGGCACTGCAGGCAGCGGCTTCACCCACTATGCCACAGCACCAGCACCCCAGTGGTTCTTAAAATGGGGTAGATAGAGCGAAGCAGCTATTTCATTCACATGAGATATATATTTTTATCCTTGACCACTCCCTCTCCCCATTTGTCCACATCCCTAGATACCACAGTCAGAATTGGAGACAGGATTGAGCAGCTATGTCTTCCTTCCTAAGAACAGTTAGTTTAAATAAAGTCACATGTACGTTCAGATGCACACACTGACCTCTCATATTTGAAAACAAGTTTATATTTAGCTGCAGAATTAATGTTTTGGGGATTTATACTTTGTATTTTAATATTTAATAAGGATTGGAAGTATGTTAAAATGTGGGTACCTATAGATGGGGAATCTGTGGTACAGGGATGAGTAGTATTTAGCTTTACATTGACTAAATTTTCAGCATTCACAAAATGTCTTTGTTGCCTTGGTTTTTCTATATTTTTCTTCTTTGGTCCAATTAACTAATATATGAGTCTAGACTATTTTTGGAAGATGCTTTCTTTTTTCTATTCTGGCTCTTTTATTTTAT